CATTCCCAAGACTAATAACACTAATGTTAGTGGCATTGTGTTCACCATCGTGCTGGATCTCTGTCAATGGTCTCGGAAGTATTGGGCTATTTTTGAAAGGTTCTAGATAAATGATTTATTTGCAGTTCTTAGTGAAGACCTGCGTTTTGCCGAGACCGAAGTGAGATCCAGAGAAACATGCGAGTATTTCTGGAACTGTCCTGCGACTTTCTTTCGATACGAATATGAAGTTTGTTATTCCGGGCAGGGGACCGTTTCGAGATGCGACGTGAGTTTTCAAATTTGCATGCCACCAAAATTCCTGTCTTATTTGCTTCATTCATGGTAAAATTAGCAGTAAGCAATACATCAGATCAATTTCAACTGCCGAGAAAAACCAAATAGTTTCTTTTCTTTTCTGACTAATGAGTTGACTGAGTACATATTGTCGACGTTTTGAATGAAAAAGCTGGTGCCGGTAGTACCTCGCAATTTGACCCGAATCAGTTGCCAGGAGCCAGACTGGGGTTGAATTGCGAAGTGCAATCAAATTCTGAGACACTTTGTAATATTGAGAACACAAAAAAGTGGCCTAAGCAAGTCAAATTCTCATGCAGAGGTTGAATTGCAAGTCAACCTCCCTGCAAGTTTGACTGTCAAATTGCAGGACAGTTGAATTGTTGGAGGTCAAATTGCAAGGTACAACCAGTATATACTGCAAAAAATGGGTGCAATTTCCTTGAAGAGAATTGCAAATATTCCTCTTTTCAAGGTACTATAGCTGTACCTTCAGCATTATAGTAAGAACCATTTTCAACTTCTTACTCCTAATTTTTTTATTCAGCTTCTGTTGCTATTGGGAAGTAGATGTGGTTTTTCCCAAGAGGCCTCATTTTAATCCCCATCAATATTTGTTTGTTTGGGTATGATTTCATCAAGGTACAATTAAAAAATCATTTTATTATGTTGCAGAATGTTCCTCAAACATCTTGAAATGTGATATTTCCCCAAGCAGTTTAAAAACCAATAGAAAATTATTTGATTTATATTTATATTCAGTGAGGCCTTGGTTTACAAAACATGATCTCTCCCAGAGCAAAGTATACCAACCAAATACAGTAGTTTCTTAACCAAGCCACACTTTTCCTTCAGAAAGTAGAGAAATAATTTTAGTTGGTTCCAGAACTTCAGAAATGTTCATGGAAATCAATAAAATTTTCACCTGCGATTTTTACTGGGTATTAAATCCAAGAACTTTTTTTTTGGAAAGAAGCTCAAAGAAGTGTTGATGAAGACAGGGCAAGCCAAAGAAGGATGCCAGGGCACAATGAAGGAACAATTTCTGCACAAAAATTGCATTCAATAAATTTATTTGGGCCTCATAGTCAATCCTTTTGCACACTTTGATTAATCAGTCTGCATTTCTGTAAACTTCTTCCAGCACTTAAGCCCAATTTTCTTCAGTTGGAAACAAAGTGGGATGACTAGTATTATGGAATATTTATGACAAAATATAACAGAAATGATACAACAAAAGGCAAAAGCTTACAAGAATCTGTTTTTCAACTCAGACCTCAACCATGAGGAAGAGCAAGAAATAACTACTGGAAAATATATAGCGTCAATTTCAGACCCATGGGGGTGGGCACATGTGGGATGCCTGCCTTTGCAATCAAAGTTTGTAAACCAAGTCATGGTTTGTAATCCAAGGCAGCCAAGGCTAAAATTCAAAGTTTGTAATCCAAAAAGTTTGTTAACCAAGGCCCCACTGTACTGTATAGCAACACCAATGCATGGAAAATTCAAGAATTGCATATACCTGTCAATTTCTGCTTGCAGGGTGACCAAGGAGGTCCAGTGGTTACAGAACTTGGCCCCAAGGCTGTTCAGATAGCCATCAATTCTTACACCAGGAAAACTTCCCAATCTTCTGGACAATGGTGTCCAAAAGCAAATCCCAATGAACCAGCAGAATTTCATGATTCAGGGAAGGCATTTGATGTTCATTGCCGCACGGAAGTCCCCACCGTTGGGACAAAAATTGCATATTACAGCGCATGGATCCAAAGCAATGCGGATGCACTAACCAATTAGAAAATTCCAATGATGAGTTGATATGATCGACTGATTGCTGTGCATTGAAAGACCGAATAAAAATCATGTTCCAGAAACGAGAAACGTTACTCATTTCAGGGCCGGGGACTCTATTATTGGGGTTAAAAGATGATGGAATTCCTTCACGCTCATTCTTTTCTTCAAATTTTTCAAAATTCATTTTGATTCCAAGGGGAGTTCAGTAGTTATGGGTGGTAAGCAACTGCCACGCATGTGAATCCCCCCAAAAAAAATTTGTAAGAGAATATCATTCAGACTATGAGACATCAAAGTTCTGTATCTGTAAAAGAACCCCAGTTTTCAGCTTATGAAGAAAAATATAATTCAATCTCACTTTCCTTCTTGATTTGCAAGCTTGAAAGGTATTGTTTCATTTTTCAAGCTCCATATCATAGTTGACAGACAGACTTCATTTTTGTAGATTTATTCACCTGACATACTATTCCTTTTCCAGGCTAAAACACACAAACACCCATATTATTGAGAACTATGAGAAGACATTAATTCCTTTGATCAGAATTGCATCAGCAGTTGAGGGGGATTTTTCAAGAAGTTGCTGAGCTATGATTATTTCATCAAGAAAAGCTGTTTTGGGCATAATGCAGTAATATTTGAAAATCTCTCTGTATAGTGTGTCCCATGTTGTCAGTTTGCCTTTCAAGTATGTGTGAAATTTCTAAAATTTCCTATATAGAAAATTTAAAAAATTGCAGTCAACCCTCGCCTAACATACTAAGGAATTTTTGCTCAACAGACTGCCTGTGCATCCAATTTTTCCTTCCGCCTAATGGACAAAATCTGCCTAGCAGACTTCTTTTGGTTAGAAATTATTGGTGAGAAGATGAAATTTTAATTTTTTAAAAATTGAATTTGCATAACAAACTTTTCACATAACCTACTAGTCTGATGTGCAGGGGTTGACTGCATATGAAAATTAATTCTATGAATCAGACATGAGTCTCCAACTGTGTGGGTAGCTTTTGTATTTCAACAGCCAAGTTATTCCCCTGCACAGAGTCTACAGAACCTTACCGCAATACATGTGAATTGTTGACCACCTCTGGAATTTCTCAATTTGTTCCCTGATGCATTTCAATTTTTAGCATCAGAACTCTGCAAATTTTTTCAAGACTTGTTCAAGACACAGAATTTTTAATAATTGCAAAACTTCAATTCCCTGATCAATTACCAACATTACGTCTAGTACAATGTGACTTTGAGTAAGACACATACCAGAGTTTTCCACCTAAAAATTCTATGGAATTGCAACCTGACGTAAGACATGCACCCCATTTCAGTGACTGAACTGCCATGCATGAAAAAAAAGAATACCCAAATATTAATAATTTTTGACCTGAATTGAATCTGAATTGAATGAATTTTCTTTTGTTTCAAGAGAAATGAGTTTTCTGATAAAATTGGTCTTATGATTCACATGCATTACCAATACTAGAGCATGGAAATATGTGTTGCATATGAAAAAGAAAGCATTGTCTTCTATACTAGCCAAATATTTCTCATAAGGCAAACATGTTACAGTATTTATGGATGAAACATTCTCTGCTGGCAAGAAATAAAAATTAGTCCTTTTTTATTCACAGAATCAGCTGGACCATTGCCTATAGTTTTGGCATCAGAGAAATTTTGATGCTTTATTCCAGCAATCCACAAGCTTCAAAACCAAACAAAAAATGTGGGAGAACTCTGCATTCAAATTTGGCTGAGATCTCTTAATGGCTCAATAAAAATGGCAGCCAGAGCTTTTGCATTTTTGTCTTTTTCTAGATTTTTGAATTTCCTTGTTCTGCTTGAGAATGGACTTACATGATGTCTTTCAAAAGCAAGAATCTTTATTCATCTTGATCAAAGGAGATTCAATCTGATGACAATCTTTTCATTTTCATATTCATGCAATATTAAACGGAGATTTTGAAGTACAAGGCCTCAGGAACCTATGATTATTTTTGGAGCGTCTTCTATTTAATGCTTTAAGCATGTCTCGCCCCAGAAATTCGTTCCACAGATGTCGCTCTACTTCCATAGCAATATCTCGGGGTCGGGTACTAACAGGAATTTTCGAAACACAGGAATGCAGGATGCCCATCCAACATCATGCACAATACCTTCATGAAATTTTGGAATGCTATCAAAAAAGTCCGTAAATTGTCCATCAATAGTTTCATGAAATGCCTGAATGTAGACATTAATCACTTTTTTCAGGTGCAAAATAAGGGATTTTTTCTTTCTGGCAAAGAATAATGTTCCATCAATTCTTAACAAAAACAGCGAGAAGTGATTCTTTCATGAAATGAAATGCACTTCCGAAACTGAGATTATGTGTTCGATTTCACCTCGAAATTAATTAAACACAAAGAATTAGTGACACGAACTGATCTAATGTTTCAACCGAACTTGCAAAATTGTGTCAATATACTGGAAATATATCCTTGTTTTATCAGAGAGATAACGTGTTTTTCTATGCAATTGCTTTCTTGGGAAACGGCGGCTGCGTGAAATAGTTTCTTATCTTCGCAATTTGAAACCCTTGGCTTTGCGGAAAGAAACAAAAGATATACTGTGCAGTACATATGTAAAAATGTATGTATTTCGCTGGAGTAGCGAGTGTGTTTGTAAGTAACAGGAATCGTCACCCAATTTTATGACTCATTATTTATGCAGAGAATCATTAATTTTTAAGATGATTCATCGTTTTTTTTCGCGATGAAGGAAAAAAATAATTTATAAATCATCGCCGCAGTAAACGAGCATTTTATATTCTTTTAAAAACAAAACAAGAACAACTCGCGCCTTTTTTTTATGCAGGAATTCCAATGAGGCTGTTCCCTTAATTGCTTGAAGTGGGGCCAACCAAAGTTTCATTTGGACCTGATTGAAAATCCTGATTATCATCGCTCTTTTGGGGCTTCCTCATTTTTCATTTTGTCTTCCTCTTCATCATAGTCCTCTTGGGGTATTGAGAGAAAGAGCTTCTGAGCTTTTGTGGTGATCAAACCTGAAATTGAGCAGAAATATGAGATTAAAAATTGACCCCGAGGACGAATGACAGATTTCATGATATCTCTTCCAAAAATAAATGACCAATGATCGAGATTCTTTTTTTTAAATGTGATTCACGATTTGAAACTGGAAATAATGCGTAGTTCTAGTAAAGCATACAAAAGTCTTGATTATCTGATATACAGTCAAAGCAAGTCAAGCTCAGAGATATATACTGTATACCCAAAAAATATTTTAACTTAAAACCGTTTTGAGTGAGGGAAACCCGCATTTTTATTGGGAAATAAATGAAGAATCACGCAAAGGTAAAATGGGTGACATTTTTTGGGCTTTGAAATGCTGGATAAATGAATGGACATAATACTGAGCTTCTGTAGACAGGGGCATAGTTACCCATTAAGTTACTCTTTTTTTTTTTCAAGCGTTGTCGGATTTTTGACCATTCTGGGTTTATGCATACAGAATAGGCAGGGCCTTCTCAGTGAAAGTCCCTGAAAACGTCGAGAGCCCCTATAGGTCACGCCCAAAAATCGTCACGCCCACGCATTCCAATGGGCGTTGCCTCATATTCCGTACCTCTTAACTTTTCATTTGAGTGACATCTAGGGCAAAAATAATTAACTGCTTGCGAGATTTGTTGAAACTCGCAAGGAGATGTCTAAGTAAAATTCGCGTTGAACAAAAACAATCACGAAACGCGTTCGCCACTATTAAAACCATAAACAATTAATTTCTAATAATATATTTACCATATCATTTCTGACTTTTAGACGCTGTCCTCGCAAAATTAAGACGATTCTTTTGGGGAAATTGTCAACATCAAAGATGCTGTATTATTCTCACTTAATAATGCTGGTAATATACAGAACTCATATTCCATTATAACGAATTTCAAAGCTCTATAAAATTTTTGAAGTCCATGAAAAAATTGTCTACACAAATACAATATTATTTCTCTTTTTTTTTAGCAAAAAATTCACTTCCAATCATGAATTACATATCATTGCACATTTTCATGATTTTTCTGCCGCTTTCCTTGACGCTTTGGATATTAGAATTTATTTACAATTTATCAATGCTCAAAATTTCCGAACAGTACATCTGCTGTGAGAAACGTGTTATTCCCTTGAAATACTTCGTTACCTTGTTCAATTATCAAGTCGAAAAGAATTTCAGGTATCTTGCTACAGGGCCACCTTGTCAATATTTTTATGGAGATTTCAATGCACTGCATATAACAGTTTTTCATCATGAAAATAATTTTAAAGGTCCCAATGATTACTTCTTTTGTCTCAAGCCTTTTCCTGTGTATGCTGAAAGTTCCTCCGCTGTTATCAATTGTTTCTGATCTATGTAAATGCTGTTTTCTGTAAAGTATACAATCTAGATACAGTACAGTATTGTCTCAAGAACTCTTGATAGATTTATATGCCTGAAACTTAATGCAGAAGCAGACAAAGTGAACCTGCATTACAACTGAATGAACATTTTTATTTTGCTTATTTTTGGGGTTTTGGATGGTTAAACCCACAGGGAGACTGTGGGGTCGCATCCATGTGGTGTGACCCAAGCGCAGAATCCTTGCTCAGGCACGCCAAAGAGAAACACAAAGCCCAGGGGCCCAGAAGTGGATAGGGACTTGGTTTACCACAATGCGGTAAACCAGGTAAGTAGCTGATAATTATCTCCGGCGGCGGAAAGCCCAGACAAAGTCTGACAACTTTGGCACTCTGGAATTGGATTTGCCTGATGGCGGTTGTGTTGAGAGCTCTGATCTGAATATTCAAAGTGTGTGCACTAAAGTCTTACTTGTCTTCTGCGGTACCCTGTGGGTGGAATTAAAGGTGTTATGATTTGAGGGACTCCAATAAGGAGGTTCTGGCCTTTAAAGGCTGATCACTGTGTCCATTCTTTTCCTGACTTTCTTTGTTGTTAATTGGCCCGACAGAGACTTTAGAGCAAAAATATCCCGGACAAACTCGGGGAATACAATATTCTATGCTTTGGCGCAATTTTTTTTTGCGGAACTTGGGTAAATTTTGAAATATAGCATATTTCTGATTATATTCGAAGAAACTTACGGCTGAAATTGGCGAGCCAAGCTGGCTTTGTCTGCCACCATACAAACGTGAAATAAACAGGGACCCCGAAGCCAGTGATGAGAATTGCTGCCAGCACCTCTTGCCAACGTTCGAACACCGGAAAGACCACCAGGAAAAGGCACATGGCCAGGAAACAAATTGGCAAAATGGTGGGAACCTGAAATATACCATACTTGAATTTTAATCTACATATGAAAAAATATTCCCTTGTATTTCCAGCTCACAAAAATAAAATTAAATACCTGCAATACACAGGAGCAAAATTCTCCGACAAAAAAGTCAACAATTGAACTTAAATGTTTAATTTCAGATTGACGCAGAAAAAAAATCGGGGCTTGTTCCCGAAATATTGAACACTTTTTGTCTATAATTTTTGCCATTAGCAATCATCGGCCGATTTCAACAGAAGGGATAAAAATGAATGAATGATACATAAAACACTTTTAAAGACCTTTTGTCAACGATCAGTTTCCCATGCATAAATGACATGAATTTTCCATCAGGGAACTCATTGTTCTTTATTCTTCCACCGAAAAATATTGATAAATTCTAGAATTCGATTTTTTTATATCGCATAAGAAAGCGGAAAATCAATTTGGCATGCTATTTTTTTTCTTTCTTTCTCGAAAAACTGTACTCGTTTGGTTTTGGGTGGGAACACTGAAGAATAGTATACAGTGAGACCGCCACATGCGGATGCCTCAACCTGCGGACAATTCGACATAGGGACACTTATTTTCCCAGAAAAGATCAATAAAGAAGGCCCGACATGAGGACACTGACTCCACACAGGGACATTTTGTGATAAAATTTCAAATACATTTCAGGCCAAATTACAAGAAACAGATATTTCAAACCCTAAAATTGATGTAAGAAAAGTTCTTGGGCATAAAACAATTTTTTTCAGGGAATTCTGAAGAATATTTCTTCCACAAAACACCAATTGAAAAGTATTTAATGTAAGTCTATGGGAAAACAAGACTTGACTTAGGGAAATTTCAACTTGGGGACACTCTTGATGCACCAGCAATTATGTCCGCATCTCGAGGTCTCACTTATACAGACTAATCTCATGTTTCAGCATATATGATGCCTCTGAAATATGACAGGGCACATAAGTACGTGACAGTTTTTTTTCTCCACACAAATTCAGATACTGTGTCTCAATATCCGAGAAAACATATCATCATACCTTGACAGGTCGCTTGGCATCCGGTATTTTGTACCGGAAGTACAATAAGGCGGTGACCGACATGCAAATGAAGCTTGACTCCACAAAAGCTGAGTAGTCGATCAAACGATACACGTCACTCGTGCTCAAGTAACACAGTGACATAATACCCTGTTGAATAAAATTGAAAAAATTTTAAATCTTAACGAGTCCGTGTCAAAATTCTCAAAACTACGAATTTTTTTCTGCATTTTTTAATGTCCTTCCGCTTATTCTATCAAAATGAAAACTTAATGTACAGTACAGTCAACTCCCTCACAATAACTCACTTGATCTGTGGAACAGATAAGTCTGTTGCGTGAAAAGTCTGTTATGCAAATTCAATTATTAAAAAGATTGAAATTCTCATTTTTTACCAATGAATTTTAACCAACAGAAGTCTGATATGCGGATTTAGTTCATTGTTTGGGAGGGAAAACCGCCTCCAGAGTCAGTCTGTTGTGGGAAAATCGATTGTGAAGGAGGTCCGTTGTGCGGGGTCAGCTGTATATCAAACCTGCACTTTCTAGGGTTGGTTCATAAGTCTTGAGACTTTCTGAAATAGATCCAACATCAGGTCTCATTTCAAACATTGATCTTTTTTTTTAAAGGAGGTTCCACAACTCATTTTGATTTGACCAAGTCAATCAACGATAATAATAATTTAGGCTTAATATTCTTCACAAAACTCGACCAAGAGTTTTAACCAAATCTTATTTGGACAGAGAGACGGACTTTTTTCGTCACGTGGTACAAATTTTGAAGAAAAAAAAAAATTCCTTAATATTTTGCTCTGTGCACAATTTCCTTATTTTTGCACAGTTATATATAACTCGTGCTCAAGTAACACAGTGACATAATACCCTGTTGAATAAAATTGAAAAAATTTTAAATCTTAACGAGTCCGTGTCAAAATTCTCAAAACTACGAATTTTTTTCTGCATTTTTTAATGTCCTTCATCCGCTTATTCTATCAAAATGAAAACTTTAGTACAGTCAACTACCTCACAATAACTGACTTGATCTGTGGAACAGATAAGTCTGTTGTGTGAAGAGTCTGTTATGCGAATTCAATTATTTAAAAAATTGGAATTCTCCGTTTTTACCATTACATTTTAACAAACAGAAGTCTGTTATGCGGATTTAGTTCAATGTTTGGGAGGGAAAACCGCCTCCAAATCCAGTCTGTTGTGGTAAAAGGATGTCCGTTGTGCGGGGTCAGTTGTATATCAAACCTTCGCTTAAGAGGGTTGGTTCATAAGTCTTATTGGGACTTTCTAAAAAAGATCCAACATCAGGTCTCATTTCAAACATTGATCTTTTTTTTTAAAGGAGGTTCCACAACTCATTTTGATTTGACCAAGTCAATCAACGATAATAATAATTTAAGCTTAATATTCTTCTCAAAACCCGACCAAGATGTTCAACCAAATCTTATTTGGACAGAGAGACGGACTTTTTTCGTCACGTGGTACAAATTTTGAAGAAAAAAAAAAATTCCTTAATATTTTGCTCTGTGCACAATTTCCTTATTTTTGCACAGTTATATATAAAACCAAATCTTATTTGGACAGAGAGACGGACTTTTTTCGTCACGTGGTACAAATTTTGAAGAAAAAAAAAAATTCCTTAATATTTTGCTCTGTGCACAATTTCCTTATTTTTGCACAGTTATATATACTCACCAAAAATATAAGAGCAACTGCTGGTGTCCTTCTCAAGCTCACCAAAGACATCGCTTCCGGCAACAATCCGACGCTTGATGCTTTGAAGCATATTCTAAAACACGAGGCCATACCTTATTATATCTCTTGCTTGAAATTTTTTAAATACTCATTCCATCAGCATTGGGACTTTGTATAATATTAACTTAAGTAATTTCAATAGAAGTATACTTGCCTTGCGCTCGTCATGATGTGGACACTCAGAGCTCCCAGGGCAGAAGTAGCCACAAACACCGGCATTATCCAGCTCATGACCCCTAATATTTTGTCGCCAAATGTCTGAAATATTGTTTGACGAAATGAAAAGGAAGAAATAATTTCGAATCTTCGAACGCTTTTGTTCCTGGCGAAAGAGAAGCAACTTCAAATATTGATGGTTGCAGACAATTAATTGCCAGATTTACTCAAGTACCATGAGCACCTTTTTTCTGATAATTGAGAGGAAAAATGGAGGAAATCAAAACAATTCAAAATTGACTGAGTTCAACTAAAAGTATAGATTCTGATGTGTGTTTTTTTCTAAATACAGTCAAACCTTTACAAGTTGAATTTGATGAGGGACCAGCAACAAAATTCAATTTGAAGAGGTTTTGACTGATGGGAAGAGTTTCAATTATAGAGGCTTGAACAACAAAGCAAAGCCATTTTGTTCTGGGAAACATAAAGGAATTGCCCAAAATGGTAAATGTTGATATTCTGAGGCTTCAATTGCTTCTTAAATGAGTTTACTGCATGTTGAACTTGGAGGTATGGGTTCATTTGCCCAATCAAGTCTTTCAGCATGTCCTTTCAAAAAACATCAATATTTGTTTTTATTGCTTTTATCTTTATTGTGTCAAGAAAAAAATAGACAAAAGGCCACCAAATATTTGACTTATGAAGGTTTGAGGGGAAAAGCCTTTGATTTAGGGAAGTTCTTAATGTATTGTTTCTAAGAGGATTCAGATGGGGACCTGAAAAATTGACTTAGAAAGGTATTTGACTTGAACAAGGTTTGAGTTCTCAAGGTTCAACTGTACCTGTATCACAATTCCTAAAAAAAATTGGATGCATGAACGCAGTTTACTGGAGAATGAGTTTTTATCCAAATTTTTTGCTGACAAATCTAGGAGTGCAGCTTATACTCAATGGCATGTGTAACTTAAGTGCATTATAAATGCAGTAATATAAAAATTTATGAAAAATGCCGATGAAAATTTTTGTGTAATTTTTGGAAATTACAGTAGAGACTTCCAAGGATCTTATAAAAATTTAAATTTTCGTACTTGAGTTCATCAAAATATAAGTAAGAAGTGACACCAAAAACTTACAATTCATATTCAATTTTCAGTCGAATGAGTTTGAACAACTTCGCTTTTTCTTAAACTTCATGCGCATGCATTTAAATGTTTTTAAAATTTCTCCATGAAGACTTATTTTTTTATCCAAAAATATTTTTCTGCCATTTGCTGAAGAAAAACAAGAAACTATTCCCAAGCTTCGATGTTTTTGGCCATGCTTGTCATCTGCTTATTACGAACATTAATAATCTCCAGCAGTGTATAATAATTTAAATACTAATTCAACAAAATTGTTGTGAATGAAATTTTCATCACGTACCACCGCAATTGCGCTTGAAGCAAGCATCTCTTCTGGTGACAAAACAGCAAGATAAGCGATGTTTGCCAAAACATACAAGCAGGTGACCAAAGGCATTGAAATGTAAATTGCCCTTGGTAAATTCCTATATAATCATAGACAGACACAATTTCAGAGAAAGAGAAAAATTTGTACATTAATAAAAAAAACATTTCGTTTCGAGAATATTTTTTTTGTCATTCAGATATTTAAAAAAAGAGGTTTGAGATCTTCCTTCCGGTTATAAACGAACATTACGAAGAAAGGTATTTTATATACGGAATTCTGAGACAAATTTCCAAAAAGTGATGACAGCTATTTATTTTATTCATTGGACCTTATTAAAAGAAATTAATTTTTTGGGACAGCGAACACAAGATAATTTTCAGAGATTTTTAGACAAAGTTCGACTACGATATACTCCGGAATTTTCCAGTATTTTTCAAACGAAAGCGACTATACGACTGTCATCTACATAAAAAAATTGTATATAAGGTATGCTCACACATAGGGATCTTTGACTTCCTCAATCATGTAATTAAGATAATTGAATCCCGTGTAAGCGAACATTCCTTGATAAAAGGAAACCGCGACTTTTGCAGGAGAAGTTGCCGATCCCTTGAACGGATCGTCGAAGTTTTCATAGTGACCTATATGCAAAAATTATATTTTTCAAAACGAAACACATTGAAATGACCGATACTGAAACATTGTTTTGTTACCAGAGAACATGTAGGCCAATCCAGACACAATCACGACGACCAGCGCTGTCAATTTCGTGATCAGAAAAACGTCTTGAATTTTCTTCGTCACTTTCATGTTCCAGCAGTTGAGGAATGTCAAAAACGCTGCAAAGAATTAAACATGCCATAAATAATGTGATCCAATTGTGCAACGTTTACCGAAAAAATTTGACACCGTGTCAAATTAAAAAGCACCCCAAGAGCGCAACTGTTATTACATAAAAACTTTAAAGAAAATTATTTTATTTTATTCTTATGTGTCAAACTGGACACGGAATCTGTCTATTAAATGTTATCTTCTTAAGAAAATTACAAATCCTCCAAAATAATTTTGAAATTAATTTAAAAATTATGAAATGTGAGTGGGGTTTTTTCTTTATACAGGGATGACGTGGATCAGGAAATTTTGGGTCAAATTAAATGTCACAACTTCAAAATCCGCTAAGTTTGAGTTTCTGAAATTGCTCAAATAAGAAGCTGTCAAACACAGACAATATTTTGGGTTTCATCGCGTTCTCATTTCAAGCAGAGTAAAAATGTTGTATTTTCTGTATTTAAAAGAACTTAAAAATCATATTTATTATTTCGAAAGAACTATTTTTCCTTTGCTCACGAAAAATGAAACGAATTAACGAAATTACGTCGAGTTCCGCACATAGCTCTAGCTGCTTTAAAATACTTTGAATTCGGTTTGGTTCAAATTAAAATGACTTTCATATGCTGGTTATTACATAAATACATAATTGTCATTTTTGAAATACTGTATAATTCAGGCGAAACTCGGATATACCATAACTCCGACGTCGTTGATCAGAAAAACGTAGTAGGCCTTGTCGTGTCGACGGTATTTTGCCAAAGTCGCTCATTAACCGTTTACAATTAGGGTATTAACGCAAACAGCATCCAGACATCTTTTTTTGTGAAACAGTATTCGCTAAATTCCTTTCAGATTTTGGCTAGAAATGCAGGTATTACAGTAAAAAAAATATTGCAACATGTCAAGGGAACATCTATTGTAACTGAAAAATACTCGGTTTTCCTCCACGTGAATTCATAAACCTGACAATAAAATAATGGTAATTTATTCATAAATAAACAAAGGATGACAATATTGAATGAAGCATATATTTTGATAACTTCGAAACGAAAACCACGCTGAGCAGAAACTGCTGCTAAAAAATTAGACGTTCTATTCATATTTGATCCTTGCTTTTATTTTCACTCAATCCTGTTCACTTTGCATTCACTGGTTCTTTGTATATTTATTTGTTCAAAATAAACACTCATTGAGAAACTATATACAGTAAAATCGTGTTACAACAAACTTGTGGGGACTTCAGAAAAAGTTTGTTATAATGAATAATTTGTTTTATTGAGATTTTGAAAATTACTGACTGATGGGAAGATTTTCTTCAAATTAGACCAGCATATATTCAATATCTCCATTTTTTGGCCTTTTCAGATGTTTTTCAGTGCTTAAAAAACTGCGATCTTCAAAAAGAGATTTAATTGTAAATAAAAAAAAATTGCTCAAAATAACATGTAAACACCAGCACTTTTTCTTGACTCAAACATTTTTTGAAGCAATTGCTGCAAAGATTTGTAAGGGTGGACATTCCAAAATTGCTTAAAATTTTTACATCACTAGAGGGTTTCTCAAGCATACAAATCCCTTTAACATGAGTTTTACTTGGTTAATTTTTTTTTCATCCAACTGTGCTCCACCAATAACCCTTCATCATTTCTAACCTAAGAACAATTTTTGCATGAGAGGATTTTCAGGTGAATTTTGAAGAAATTTTTGTTCTTGATTCCACCTTCTGTTCCAAGAACCAGTCACAGTCACATTTTGGATGGGAAATGTGAGACAGTGCCTACCTTCATTAGTGATTTTTCAAGAAGAAATCATTTCCTCAGAAAAGTTTGTTACACTGGAATTGTCAAGTTTGTTGCAATGAGATTTTTATAACATGTACCTAATTATAGGATTTCTTCTATCAGGACTTGAAAAAAAGTTTGTTGTATTGAAATATTTGTTGTAACGGTATTTGTTGTAAAAAGATTTTACTGTATACAGCGACAATTTTTGAATAAAGGAAGTTTGATTCTATTATAAAGCCAGTCATTTGAACCATGAATATCTTGAATACTCACACAAAAACAAAGACTGCGTCCCACATGAACAGGAAAGCTGGGAAATCACCGAAAGCTCGTCTGATGTAGGCGAAATCTCCGCCACTCTCTGGAACTAATGTGCCTAATTCTGCATAACAAATGGCCCCTGTTGTGGATAGAATTCCGCAGGCATATTGAGGCTGCAGCAACTAGTCTTTTTGCATCATCCGGAACAGCACAGCTGCCATAAAACGGTTTCAGCGAGTAATTGGCAAATGTTAATCCCATAATTGCGTTTGTCGTAGGTCTGTAGAAAAAAGGTGAAACAGTGTTTGCTAAATTCCTTTCAGATTTGGGCTAGAAATGCAGGTATTACAGAACAAATATTGCAACATGCCAAAGGAACATCTCTTGTAACTGAAAAATACTCGGTTTTCCTCCACATGAATTCACAAACCTGACAATAAAATAATGGTAATTTATTCATAAATAAACAAAGGATGACAATATTGAATGAAGCATATATTTTGATGAATTTGAAACAAAAACCACGCTGAGCAGAAACTGCTGCTAAAAAATTAGACGTTCTATTCATATTTGATCCTTGCTTTTATTTTCACTCAATCCTGTTCAGTTTGCATTCACTGGTTCTTCGTATATTTATTTGTTCAAAATAAACACTCATTGAGAAACTATATACAGTAAAATTGTGTTACAACAAACTTGTGGGGACTTCAGAAAAAGTTTGTTATAATGAATAATTTTTTTTATTGAGATTTTGAAAATTACTGACTGATGGGAAGATTTTCTTCAAATTAGACCAGCATATATTCAATATCTCCATTTTTGGCCTTTTCAGATGTTTTTCAGTGCTTGAAAAACTGTGATCTTCAAAAAGAGATTTAATTGTAAATAAAAAAAATTTGCTCAAAATAACATGTAAACACCAGCACTTTTTCTTGACTCAAACATTTTTCTAAGCAATTGCTGCAAAGATTTGTAAGGGTGGACATTCCAAAATTGCTTGAAATTTTTACATCACGGGTTTCTCAAGCATACAAATCCCTTTAACATGAGTTTTACTTGGTTAATTTTTTTCATCCAACTGTGCTCCACCAATAACCCTTCATCATTTCTAACCTAAGAACAATTTTTGCATGAGAGGATTTTCAGGTTAATTTTGAAGACATTTTTGTTCTTGATTCCACCTTCTGTTCCAATGAACCAGTCACAGTCACATTTTGAATGGGAAATGTGAGACAGTGCCTGCCTTCATTAGTGATTTTTCAAGAAGAAATAATTTCCTCAAAAAAGTTCGTTACACTGAAATTGGCAAGTTTGTTGTAATGAGATTAGTTTAACATGTACCTTATTATAGGATTTCTTCTATCAGGACTTGAAAAAAAGTTTGTTGTATTGAAATATTTGTTGTAACAGTATTTTTTGTAACAAGATTTTACTGTATACAGCGACAATTTTTGAATAAAGGGAGTTTGATTCTATTATAAAGCCAGTCATTTGAACCATGAATATCTTGAATACTCACACAAAAACAAAGACTGCGTCCCACGACTTGTCCTTTCGACCCTTTAGTGGCTTTCGAGCAGACTACATCCGCTTTAGAGGCGGTGAGAGACCTTGATTACACGGATTAAGACGTATTGTTTACCGGGGACAACACCTATCTTAAGGCGTCCGAACCCAGACAATCAGGGAGAACCCAACTGAACCCGTTTCTGCCAAAACGCCCGACGGTGAGACAAATATACCTAGTATAATATGCACGTGCGACAGAATAAAAAAAATACACGATTAGTATAGGTTTCATTTACCTCATGAATACATTCTCTGCTGTGAACGTCATTCGTTTCCAGAAAAAAAAATCAAGAATAACTATTAATTTTCTTGAATGGAAATTTTTGTAATTACGTAATATTGATGCGTTTCAAAAGATGATGAAATATTTCTCTCGTGCAAAATAAATTGTGACTCATTCGATTTTCCGTTGAACCCGCGCACTGTGTAAAAAAATTCATTTCCCCCGATGAACGTAAAACTCATGGCATTGTATAAAACTTTAAAAATGTGCATTACAATTTGAATAAGTCGAGGTTTTATTTTCAACTCACTGGAAAATATGAAAAGAAACATACTATGTACCTGTACCAACAATGAGACCGACAATGACGGAAACAGCCTCAAAAAGTCTCAATTCTTTTTTCAGCCTGACTTTCTCGTCGACACCTGCAACATCCTGAGAAGGTGCTGATGATGTAGTTGCTGACGCAATCATGTTAATTGCTCCGTGTCCCAACACAGGCACTGATGATTCCTAATCCGTCTTGATGATGGTGCCGTTCGATACTGTTTATTTCACGCGCGGAAACTATGTTTGATTCCGAAATCCGTTTTAAACATGTAAAACTTCTAAACACTGAGATTTGGAAAACTGAAATGCATAACTCTACACACAGCAGTTGCATATATGGCGTCTGGAAAGCCATGGAATCGCACCATCGACTCGCGTAACGCAGGGAACACGTATACTGCAAGAGGAACACTTGAACTCAGAGTGATAGTATATATGCCATAATACATGCACGGCATCACACTATGCAGTACAGTATATAATATTCACTCCCGAATCCCGAGTTCCGAGCATTGGAATAATATGCGAGAAATATTGAAAAAGGAAAATGCGGTGACCGGTATCGATCGGGAGTTTGGTTCCGTTTTCATCCAAATCCAGCAAAGAAATATATATACTGTACTGTATATAAAAGTATATTTCAAAGGACAGCAATAGAAGACTGCATACGAAGAAAAAGTCTATGCTATGCACTGCATATAGTATACTGTAGTTCTCAACATGATCAGCATGATTTGCAGACGTGAACCAGCAATGTACGGGTCAAATAATGGTACGGTAACTCAGTTTGTGTTGAATTGTTCGGTTTTTCCCAAAATAAATTTATCGGTCATATATATATGTATATATATCAAGACTGATTCATGTGATCGTTTGAAACCAGGGGATCAGCCGAAGTTTTGTCCATCCACGGTTTTCTAAGTGATGAAAATAGCTGTATTAAAATTACTATAAATGCAGAAAAAAAATAATTGCTGAAAATGTTGAAGTAAAATTTTGCAGAGTTGCGCTTTTTATTTTCTAAAAATTGTTTTTCGACAGAATAATTAAAAAAAGATAATCCCACGTCAGATTGCATATTTCATAGTGAATTATTTGTGGCGTTTCTGATGCTTTTCCATGCTTGTATATAATCGCTACAATTTTTAAATACAAATTTAAATTTTCATTCTGTACGGATCAAGAAGACAAACAAAAATAGTCCGAAGGGCAATTGTCTATTGCCTTGCATGCGTCATTGCTCAGCATTTAATGATACCGGTATGGAAACTATACAGCACAACAATCTTGTTTATATATTTTCCTATCTAAAAATGTTGTTGCTCAAAAGGAATCTGTACCCATGCTATAAACAAGGTTCCCTCATACAGTTCCACAAAATTCTCTCAACATTTTTTTCTCGTCCCCTGAATCTGGTTGCAAGAGAGACCATCAGGCACTTACTGTTGTAATACATGTATACATTTTAGAGTACAGTTGAAATAGGCCGTATTATTTGGCTTTGACCAAATAATACTGGTTGTTTGAATCCCCAATTCATCTGTAGTCAGTATAAAGTCTATTTGTTTAACTATTCTGTAAAATACGGAAAGAAATCCAAGATTTGTTATACACATTTGAATACAGTACAGTACAGTATATAAAACTACATGTAAGACTACGGGTGCTCTGGCTGCCACACCGGTAACCCTGAGAGAAATGCTCGCTCATGTTGTGCCCCCGGTGAGCTTAGACCAGGCATACGAGGAATTTCACGAGGCTGAAGATGTGCATTCTTCTGGTTGTTAGTTCTGATCACTAAAGGTGCCTCGGTCCTGTACAGACGTGATTGTTCGGCTTGTGTTGAGAGGGTTATACAGTACTGTATGCCTGTTGATGCATCAGTGTGAAAGACTTCCTCGAGATGTGTTGACTAATTTGTTGGTACTGATCTGTTTCTGGATGCAGAAAATCTAGTGCTTCGGAACTATGCGCTTCCCAATATTTTTTGCCTCCCTCTTCGTAGTAGCTGCGTTTATTGACCTTGTGGAGTCCGATCCAGTTACTAATTACGTGGATTGTGGTGAGTTCATTTCTTCTCTCCGCCGGAAAGCTGGATTCGAGAATGTATTTCGTTTGCAATTGTTCAGGTTCCAAGGGTGGTAAAATTGTGTCGGTGGATATCGTCCCAGCGTGTGGGGATGAGCGGTATTGTATTTTGCAGTCAGGGAAAACTGTGAAACTTGCATGGACTATTCAGGCGACCGAAGCTCTGAAAAGCTTGCAGGCAAAGGTTTACGGCACTATTGCTGGTATCCCAGTTCCTTTCCCACTTCCTAACTCTAATGCATGCAAAGATTCTGGAATCAGTTGTCCCGTGAAAGATGGAGATACTTTCACGTATGACTTGAATCTCGATGTGAAATCCGCCTACCCGAAGGTGAGTTACTTCGGTAAACTAATTTGAGTAAACTAGATTGGGTACCTTAATTTTCATTTCCTCTAGATCCACGTTGATGTGAAATTTACGCTCGTCGAAGATGGAAAAACGGTGGCTTGTTTCTTGCTCCCGTCAAAAATCGAATAGTTGTCAGTATCGCCGAATAGTTGATCGGTCTATTTCAACTGTGACTTCATTCAGTTCATCCATTGCGTGCGTCTTGCCATCGTCCGTGGAAAAAGTGATGCATTGATTGTTCTAAGTGATGCGATGAATATTTGGTTATTTGGTGCGTGGGTGCATTTTTCTAACCAAGACTTATATTTTTCAGAATGTATTTGCTGTGATAAAGTGAAACGTAATGCCGAACAAAAGCAAAGGCAGAAACGGGTCTGGACTGGACGTCAGAAATGGTCTGTCGAACAACCAGCGCAAGACGCAGGCCCGTTTCCTCCGCGATCTACTTCAGATATGTGATACAATAAAAGATAAGTCCTTCACGTCTCCGGGTAGAACGAACCGGATTACGTTTGAAGAGTTCGAATCGATCTACGACTCCGTGGAGCTCCTGCGACAAATGGAAGCGAAAAACGCGCTACCGTGCGATATTCCCACGAATCGTGGTGATATATCTGAGTTTGTTTCGTGGTGTCGATTGTCGGGGATCAAGATTCATCCAGACATCGAGTTGCACGATTTCGGATTTCCGATTGGCTTTGGATTGCGTGCGGTGCAAGACATTACATCCGGAACAAAATTGTTTGAAATTCCTGTGGACGTGATGATCGGATTGGATAGCGCTGAAGAAGGAATTGTCGCCGAGGTTATGCAGGGTGACATGCTGTGGTCGGGAATGGAAACTGTGAAACTCGCTCTATTTCTTCTGGAAGAAAAGTGGTCTCCCAACTCGAAATGGGGACCTTACATTTCTGCGCTTCCGAAAGCTTACACGTGTTCACTGGAGATGGACTTGGAGGGATATAAATTACTGCGCGGAACGTCGGCCTTCGGTAAGGTAACTGGATCTAATCTTGAATCAAGAGCATTTTTCTTACGTTTTCAACTTGCAGAGGAAGCCATGAAGCTTTTCCGAAATATAGCAAGACAGTATGCTTACTTGAAGCGATTGTTCCACGTGAGTTCTACATTGGAAAAAAAAAACGCGATGGGCTAGTGTCAATTTCGGTATTTTTGTTTCCGTAGAGTGATGAAAAATTCAACAAGCTCAACTTTGTGTCTCATTTCTCCTTCGACGAGTACAGGTACGAAATACTATCCGTATGCCTTACATGCGAAAATTCAACGCCGTCAATGCGGAATCGTACACGTTTTTTTAGCCCTTTGAAAGAACACATTTTCGTGGGAGAATCTATGATTTATTCAAGATGTGCCAAACCCTTCTTCAATTCAGGGGTTTAACAAGACCGCTTCAAATTTACCGTGTAATTGGCAATAACTGTCCAACTCTACCATTATATTGCGAAATCAAAATACGGAAAAGATGGTTAATTGATACTGTAGTATTCTTTCGCAGGAAGTTAACCGTGAAAGGAATGTTACGCACGACTGCCTTATATTTTCGAAAATAGCGACTGCTCGAAGTTATTTTTTCATGCCTTCCCAGATTCCCCTTCGAATCTTCTGCTTTTAGTACAATATTCGTTCGAGATCATGCGTTGAACGGTTCTATAGTTGTAGCAAATGTGCGACGAGTTAATATGAGAGTTTGAATTGCCGCAATTTTTTGAGCCACTACGTAAATTGGTATTTTGCGTGTGAGTCTAAAACGCTGAGTTCCTGGGAGTCAAAATTGAAATAAAAAACGTCTTATGTTTGCGTAAAGCGCGTTAATTAATTAAATCATGCACCTAATTGTCTTCTTTCTGTTTGGATAATGAAGGTGGGTCGTTTGCACGCTGACCACCCGGCAAAATAGCGTGCCAGTACCGAGACGAAAGTGCGGTAAATTTCATGTTCGGGAAGGAAGTCTGATGATGATACCACTTTACGACTTCGCCAATCATGATGACAAGGGTGCTGTAAGTGGTAATTGATCTTTATTTTAAAATTATCGTCGACAAATTGTTCATGTATTCAGGTTGGTGATTTTGACGAGGGCGTGTGCTCCAGCGTGTGCAATGGAGAAATCAAAGCTGGCGAGCAGATTTTCATTTGCTACGGCTCTCGCGGAAACTGGCAAACACTAGTTCATAATGGGTATATCATGGGTTGCGACGTTTTTGGCGGGGTGTTGGAAGGACGATTTGATCCTGTGCATGACAAGTTCCCGATAACGATTGAGTTTGTCGAAGCTGATGCCTCCCTGAAAGAAGTGAAGACACGGATATTGCAGCATCTTTTGGGCGGTTTACCCTCAAAATTGAGCATTTTGGCCTCACCGCCGCATTTAACGCCGGATTTTCTTGCTTTTGCGAGGCTTTCCGTTGCAAGTGAAGGTAAACTTTTCCTTTCGCATTCGTTTTTCATCTAAGAGTTCGAATAAATCAAGGAAAATTTTATTAGGTGCCGTTCTTTCTCAAAATTCATCAGCCTTACGCAAGTGCATGAAGTAGATATTCATCGCACCACCGAATCTTACTCGAATAAAAAAAAAAAAAGCTGTATTTTTTTTTTTTGCGGTGTATCCTCCAACTGGAACATATTTCAGATTTGTTGGCAATTATTTTATGGAGTTCAGAATGTATGTAATTTCTTGGTTCTGAAATTTTGGGCAAGCGTCACACATATTATAATTTGCTCATTTCGAATTTCCTCTCGACCAGAATTCTTGTCATCCATAAGAGAGTCGGAGTTGTGGTTATTCAACTGTGACGTTGCTGATGGTGATCCGAAGTGGGCGAAGCTATGTCGGCAAGCAGTAACCTGGACTTGCGTGAAAATATCGAAGGCGTTGAAGTCTTTCACTGTTCCAAAAGAAACTCTCGTCGAGAAGCTCAAATTGGTTGACGCTGAATTTGCGACCAAATCCACAGAAGCTCTCAAACGAAAAGCGTATTTGCATAAAATGTCGATTTCGTTGGCAGTTACGGAGATGAGTATCTTGGAGGTGGTCAGGCCCTGGCTCATGGGAGAAATCAAGAGGCTTGGGGCTAGTGTTGACGGAGCTGGAGGAAACGGTGCTGAGAAGTGAAATGTGTTCTTTGTGAAGCTTGTTCGAATTCAGGGATAACGGCATTTTATTCAAATTTATTTGGCCTCGATAATTTATGCAAGACACACTCCTCCGATTGTGAGTAATCCTTGATTTTAGACGATCATATGAACTTGTGCTTTGGTGAACCGGTGACGATTGTCCGATATCTTGGTGAATATCCGCTTTGAATTCGTGGTGCAATTCAGTCACGGGACAAAACACTCAGTAAATTAAGTTGAAACATTTTACGTATTCAAACTGGGACCCTCGCACTTTTAGCGCCAAATCAAGTGATTGTCTAAATGTGAGGTCACTCCTTTCGATATCGTGCTTCTGAGCACTTCCCAACGTGTTGAGACAAAGTTACGTTTTTCTGATCTGTTGTTTGAACCGTTGAAAGCTATTAAGGTGTGGACCAATAATGTTTGCGGAAGTTTCCCCGAAACACTGGTAATTATTTTTTCGTTTTGATACGATTTCATTATATTTTTTCCAGACTTTCGTGTATGAGTGACTTTTGTATTGCATGGGTCCTGACCTGCTCTAAGCGGGATCCTCTTCATAATCTCCTTATTTTTCCTGTTCGGAGCTGCTTCCTAGAATTTTGGTGAGTAAGGAAGATGGTTGAACAAGAAGATCAACAATTATTATTTTCTTCGTTTTTTAGAAGTTTCGAGCGTCTGGCAGGTGTCGCCGCAATCTCAAACGTGACCGAACCATCATCGCGGGTCTGACCTTCAGTAACGAATAGTGACAGAATTTTAGAGAAACCAACGTAATGTAAAGCTAACGTCATGGATTCGGGCCATGAAGAGGCTCTGTAGAAAAGAACTCGATTTAATTCTGACGGAAACGACAATTTGGTCAAGGTAGACCGGCAGTATGATGGATGACGTGGAGGGGAAGAAGTCAGGCTGTTCAGAGATTTGCAGCGAAATAGCTGGTGAGGCTCGGAAAATGTGTGTCCGAGAAAATTTATTTTTTTGCGTTTTTCTCTGGACGATTCGTTTTTTTTTTACATTACAGGTAATTGCCAGGATGTTGCAAGTAGATTCAACTGGTAGCGCTCGAAGTGCCCCACCTGTTTCAATCATGAGCGATTTGAAACCACCGCTTAAAGCGGTTTTGCAGCGATTCGTGAGTCATGTCGATGCCATGGAGAAGAAGTTCGCCAGTGGTGACGATCAATATGATCGGGAATTCCAGGTTTGATCGGATTTCGCATTCGTGGTGGTTCCTGACGAAATTCTTAAATATTTTTTCAAAGAATTTGAAAATGATGAGCGAAACGTTGAAAACCCTGGCGGAATACTCGTGCTCCGAAGGCGAGAAGGACATCAATCGACGGAAAAATCGATACAAGGATATTCTGCCGTGTGAGTTGAACATTTCGTCGCTGTTTTCTGAAAGCTATATACTATCGAGGAATTTTGGCATGTTTAGGCTGGTATATGATCAATGTTCTCGTTTTGAATTTCAGTTGATTACAGCCGAGTGACGCTGAGGCCATTTACTGGAATCCCTGGCAGTGATTATGTAAATGCCAATTACATACGAGGAGCCTCGGGTTCTGTTGCATACATTGCTTCGCAAGGCCCACTTCCAAACACACTAGCAGACTTTTGGCGAATGGTTGTTGAATGTGAAGTGCGAGTTATTGTCATGGCATGCAGTGAACGAGAATCTGGAAAGGTAACATTTCTGGAGTTGTACTTGAAAATCCTTTTAGAGAAAATCCTTGGAAATCTTTAAAGAAACTTTCGTGATGAAAAAATTCGTAAACTGGAAACTTCTGAATTATGAAGGTTTTGAATCTTCGTAAATCACCAGAGATCGTGTTTTGTACAAAATCGGGCTCTCTTACTACTGTTCTAATACATTGTATCGAACCTTTCCCAAAATCTCTCAAGCAGCATAAATGCGAATGCTATTGGCCTGCTACAGAGGAGGAAGAAAAGGTTGTGGGGAACGTTCGGATAGCATTGGTGAAAACGCGACAAGTTTGTGTTGATTTCACTTTGCGAACGCTGCTGCTGAAGTACGCGAAACCTGGCAGTGACGAGCTGACAGAAGAGCGAGTGCTGTGCCAATTTCACTATTTTGCATGGCCAGACCACGGAGTGCCATTGCGAGTCCGCCCATTAATTGACATGGTGTTGCTATTGCGGGATTGTCAAGCGTCGGAAACATGTCCTGTGTTGGTGCATTGTTCTGCTGGTTGCGGTCGTACTGGAACGATTTGCGCTCTGGATTATGTTTGGGGTTTGCTACGAACAGGAGTGAGTGCTAACAAATACAGTATTTTCCATTTGAAAATGTTCCAGGAAATCAGTCTAAAGTTGAAACGGGACTTCACTCTTCAGCGCCCGATTTTTCTTTGTGAAATTTTGGATAGATGTCCCATGATTTTTCTCAATTATACCCGATTTATTAGTTTTAAAGCGTCATATCGGAGTTGCCTCAGTCTCAACCCACCATGAACCTAACCAATGAAAATATGAAGAAAAATAAATTGAAATCCAACCAAAAATAGACAATAAAAGCTAGTTGAATTCAGGCGAAACGCGTGCTGTAGGTGAATTCGCGAATTCGATGGATGTCGGGATTTAAGATGAGCTAACCAAGGATTGAACCAAACTTGAACTAATCTAACCTTGCCTAATTTATTCTCTGCTAACTTGAAACTAAGGAAACGCGTAAATCTGCGGGTGACATCTGTTCAAAGGGGAAATATAATCACTAAATTCTGGACGTCTCCCTGTTCAGAAGCAAGGAAAAACTTCTTCGCGTAGTTCATTTGGTCTACCTGAAGCTCCTGTTCGCTTTCTAAATTTTAGAACTTCTTGGCTCTGTAACTTGCGCGACATTTCGGTTAAAAATTACGCTGCATAATAGAGTCTAGATATTATGTTCATAAATAACATGTGTCATGGTCATCCTATGTGTAGCGACTGCGAGAGAGTTTCAACTTATTCGACGTGATAGCTGACATGCGGAAGCAGCGTGTCGCCATGGTGCAAACAAAAGATCAATACATCCTGGTGCACAGAGCTGTGAGAGAATTGTTCGCTGATCAGTTGCGGATGATTGACTCACATCCGTACGAGAACGTGGATTGGAATGGTGATCCCTTAGGTGACGTGCACGTGCCCCCGCCACCCCCGTCGAAACCTCAGGCGTTGCCGTTACCCCTGTCTTCGATTTCTTCCTCGTCTTCCTTGTCTTCATCGTCTTCCCTCGCTTCGATGTCGAAGACCGTTGATAAGTTGGTGGTAGTGATGCAGCCATCTGGAGGAGACTGTGATGCAAGAGGTAGGGATCTTGCAGTGGAAATGGCCAATCCTTGTTCTACTAGGTCGAAGAAAGTTTTCGATTTAAAGCTGATTGAAAGTGAGTTCCGAGCATCACTGTAATATATTTTTTTTATCCCGGGTTTGTTCAAAAATCAAGAACTCCGGGCTTACACCTGATGAGATTCCGCGTCGATTATTAATTGTTCAGTTTTCCATGTCCTGACGAGGAATAGCTTTTCGGATATTCAAATTGAATGGAATTTTACAAAGATACCTAAATCTTATGCCAATCGGTTCGCGGTGTTTCTCGTGCTAGTGTGTAGAACAATCGCTTTTTGTTCATACAAATTATCAGACAGATTTTCGCGTTTACTTTTCTGGTTTGGAACTAAAAGAATACAATTAATTTTCTGAAAATGGAATCCATCACAGCAATTATCATCAAAAAATTCCTCAAGTTTCTAGAAAACATGTACTTCTGCTACTTTTGGAGGAAAATCGAATAATTTCAAATAATAATAATAATAAAACTCTGATAAACCGCCAATCCCTTTAAACCGCGAAAAAGATCTCTGGACAAATGGTCACGTCTTTTCAGGGCCTGACTTGTTTGCTTTCCTTCAGCTTGGTTTTCTAAAAAGATACATCATGAAAAATTGAACGTCTTCCAGAAATCTGCCTTCCCACACCAGCCAAGTCAACCGCTGTAGGTGCCCAAGCGTCTCGGCCTACACACGCGGTTCTGGAGACGCGCTCACTTCCCCGTCCAGGCACCATGAGACTCGTTCATCTAGACGCGGACGACTCTTTGTCCTCGCCTTCAAGCGGCGGCGGCGAGTCCTCGGCGGCGGCTGACGTTGATCGTCGAGACGTTCGCAACCTGTGCGCAATGTTTGAGGGGATGCAATCGTCCAAGCCGCGGTTAGCGCGTAGTTTGAGTTCGGCCGCTCTTGGTATGCGTCGAGACGCCGCGCCGTTGACGCTTCGGATTGTCCCTGCTGGATCCAAGCAAAGTTTAGAGTCTGGAGAAGCGGATTTGGAGGACGGCTGTACAAGTGGGAACCATGAAGGAGGCGGTGGGAAGTTTTCCGCGTCGAATTTACGAACTGCGCCGACTCCGCCGCAGAGACGGAAGAAGAGCTCACCTTGGACGAGGAATGATAATGGCGAGGTACATTTTCAGAGACGATTGAATTTATGATCGTTGGAAATTATTTTAAAGTTCTGCTTTTGGTGCCTCTGAAGACTGGCGAGAAAACCCCTTCATGAATCCCTAGACGCTCGATTTAAATTATGCGAAGATGCGTGCATAGCATTTAATTATCGGGAACTGTCGCTAATCATAATACGGTAATCGAAAAGGTTTCGAACCCACCTCCTTGTGCACTGGAAAGTTTTTCTTTAATGTTCGGTGAAGTTTCCTGAGCCTCAAGTATGCAGTTACTTTTGATTTTTTAAATTCCGGTTTTTATTTTTAGCACAAAGGTCTTCGCCGACGCTCGAGTGACGTGGGTTTATCGCGAGCATCTCAACTTTCCGTGAAACAAGCCAGTCAAGCTCAAAATGCCCTACCATCATCATCATCATCAACGACTCGTCGACAACCGGAAGCTGTGCTACGTGATGCAAGAAAGTTGCTCGAGAAGGAAGCTCGGGCAGCTGCGGAACTCGGGCAAAGAATAAATGCCACGCAACAGCCTCGTCGTGAAACCACCATTGATGCGATTGTGAAGAGTTGTGAGCAGTACTTGAGGGATAACGAAACGTCGGGTTCGAGTAGAAAGCGCGCCATGCCTCAAGTTTCGGCGCAGCGGAATAGTAAAAACTACGAACAGTTGTGGCCGTCGACGCGGGAAGGATCTCCTAAAATCAAGGTGCAGTTTCGGAGTGTTCATAAAAATTGGGAGGCAAAAACTGTTCGACAAAGTTCGGCATTTAATTTTTTCGCAATCCTGAACTTTGAAAGTCTGGCCAAAATTCTATAGAAACGATTATATTTCGTGATGACTAATTGGATGAGGAAATTTACTGATTATCTTTTCCTTACAGTCGCGAGTCATGGCTGGTTTTTGAATTTATTGCAGTGCAGTACTTTCTCCCGCATCGTTTTCTGATTTTTACCTATTCTCAATCTATGAATTTTTTTTAACATAGGATCGGTCTGGCTGTGGTTTTCCCGTGCCGACGACGGCGAACGTTTCAGTCTCTTCTTCGTCCATTGTTTGTACCCCAGAAGGTCAGACGACTACTAGGAATTTACCAGTGGTCGCTCCAGCGATTCCATCTCCGTCGGATCGACGGGAAGTTCGAAATAAATCTCAGGAGCCGTCGCTGATCGTATCCGTCACTCCACGATTTCCTGTCAGCGAGGCTGAACCGATGATGAAAGGTGAGCTGCGGGACTTGCGTGTAAATTAACTTGTTGCAAATTAATTGTAATCAGGCGATTGGTGATTTAATCAGATAAAACTCTTCTTGGGCAGAGATCATGAAGTATGCTCTCATCAGGGAAATGCTCTGCTGTACGGTAGTGAATTCGTTGATGCTTGAAATTTCCTTGAGTTCCATGGTTCCTTTAAAGTGATTCAGTAAATTAAAATTTGAACAGCTTTCGCCCAAATCTTTGAAGTGAAATTTGATCGACGAATTTTCATGTCTCACACGATGTCTTTGTTGACCTTGATCTGTTCGAAAATTGATGCATTTTGTGTCGATTCATGCGGCTTTTGTGTGCTGGGACGACGACAGTGACCAGAAATTGTAAGTGACGTGTCTGATCAAAAATCCTAGCCGCACTTTCAAGGCTCAAGGAACGGAGTGATGACTTAGCCTCGCTTCATTTTATATGAATTTGGTAATTACGGGTTTTGCTAGTTAGCCTTGTTGAGAATTGCCTCCTCGAACCTCCAAATTAATTTTTGCTGTTTTCGTTCGAATTTCTGGAATTTATTTATTAATTTTCGAGTATGTTTCCATGTATGATATCAGCACACTTTTCGTAGGAGCCTTGAATTGCTATCTATTGAAGATCCGTGTTCTCGGTTTTGTCAGGTCCTCAGCCTTTATTAGCCGAGCCGATTGTGATTGTGTCTCTTTTCCTCTTATTTCAATCAGGAAAATCTCCCTCGTGGGAGAAACAGTCCCCGAGTTCCTTGGATATCAACAAATCGAGTGTTTGGAATAGAGGTGTGAAAAACGGTCTCACAGTTGAAGAACCAGTTGCTCCTCCCCGAGTGAAGCGAACCAATTCCGCCGTAGCAAATTACGTGAACCTGAGCGTACACAGAAGTGGGGGCGTCACGCGTTCGAGTCGCCCGAGTCCACCTCAGAATATTGGACGCGGAAATGCCGATGGAAGTCCGTCCGTCGATGATAGGGTGAGTGGATGGTCTTTGAAGCGTCTGCTGATACAGCAGAGTAATGTACTGTACAGGTAGTGTATTTCTGTTCGCTTGGTCGTTGTTTCTCAGTTTGTGCACTTAGTCTGGATTGCGCACGTGTATCCATTGTACAGAAGTTGATTTCAAGTAGAATACCGCATTCGGTTTTTTTTTTATATACAGTATATAAAATCCCGGGCGTTCTTGAACGCCTGAATTTTGTCAGGTTTCTTCAGTGTGGCATGTTTTATTTTAGATCAGTTGGGTCGTGCTCATTTAATTTGGTTGCCAAGGTATTTCATGCCAATTGGTGGGACGCCTGTTTGAAAGTCTAGAAAGCAATGTAGGATGTTGAAAGGAAAAAAGTAAAATTATTATACTGTTCTGTGTGTCTAGAACTATATACAGTTATACACTAAAAGATCTTCAAAACGAATAACTCTGTAACGAATTCATGCGTACAACGAATTTTTTCTCGGTCCCTGTCTCTAGAACTTTTTACAGTTGTACACCAAAAGGTCTTCAAAGCGAGTAACTGTGTAACGAATTAATGCGTACAACGAATTTTTTCTCGGTCCCTGTCAAATAGGCACAATGTTATTCTAATTTCGTTTCAACGAATTATCATTTTTAACTAAGCTTTTTCAAGGTCCCAAACGCTTCGTTGTAACGAGATTTTACTTTATATATTTGTAATCCTTCCGTAGAATGCCCGTCAGTTTCTTGTGCATATCCGAGGCGGCTCATTGAATTTGTTGATACATTATTGCCTTAGGTGTCGATTTTATGTATCATTAACCTGGTAATGTTAGTCTGTGAAAAAGGAGATGCGTGACGCTTCTTTATAATAGTGGATGCATCAATTTTATTTTTTCATTTATTTGTTGTGTTCTTTTTTTTCGCACGTTATTTGGTCTAGCAGCGCGTGGAAGATTGGATCCGCGTTTATGGTCCTTCGCGGATGAATGAAAAACCGGCTCCAGTATCGCGTCAGCATGTGAATCGGGCTTTGCCCGTTTGTGTCCCCGAAGGTTTGCTTCTGCTTGTTTTGTGCTTCTGCTTTTGCGCAAATTTCGCTTTTCTTGTCAATGGCTTTTTCAAGTAACTTTTTCCAAGTGAATATTGAGCGGCGGTTCAATTATTTTTCAAATCAACTACAACGTTTTTACTGCCGAATTTTCACATTTTTGAATGCCGCTTCGAGCGTATCATTTGAAGAACTGTCGTCGTTGAATAGGTATTAGAGACAACCCTGTAGCTGCGATCAGTTCCGTTCACATTGTGCAAGAAGCTGCTCGAGTGGCAGCTTCCCGTCAAACCCAGCGAGCACCGCTAACATCGTCTAACAATGACCTGAAACTCTCCGGAGAACCGTCAGCTGCACCTTTGGGGACGCAAAAACAGACTTCGAAATCTACTGTCCTCGGCCGATTCCATTCGTTGCGTGTGAAGTTACCAAAGCAGGAGACAGATGCAAGAATCGTCATTTCCAGCAAGCCAAAAGAAGTTGGCGGTTCTTGTGTTCGGACGCTCGGCAAGTTGTTTATTATCGTTTTCTTCTATCTTGGAGGATATTTCTCGTAAATTACAGTGGGGTCTTGGCTTACAAACCCCCTGGCTTACAAACTTTTCAGCTAACAAACTTTTTTTTTTAGACCTCAGCTGCTCCGGCTGACAAACCATGACTAGGCTAACAAACTTTTAGTTCTCCAAATGCTCATGGGTATAAAAAAGGTCTTAAGCAAAATTTAGGGAATCATGTTTAAACTTATTCATTAATTCATCTAAGAATCTCTCAAAAGTTTAGTGACCAATTCGTGATCACCAATTTTTTATTCATTCTAATTGGGTTAAAATTCAACAGCTTTTTATCATTACTATCGTCCATCCTAAGTCCTTGGTCTGTGAATAAGTTTGTGGTGTTGCATTTGAAATTTTTGAGGAACCTCTGAAGAAACTCACTTGAAAATTTCACTTTTATGGATTGTTTTACTGCATTGAGTTTCTTGTTTATTGTCTTGGGAAGATTTAATGAAGTTTAGGCCTTTAAATTTGTTTAGGATGCATTTTCTTGAATTTGATGTGCATTTTCAATGTTCTGGAACGAATTAAAATTATTCCCATGCTTCAAGGGAAAATGTGATTTCGCTTACAAACTAGTTTGCTGACAAACTTTGTGCAGGAATCAATTAAGTTTGTAAGACAAGACCCCACTGTATATGTAAGTTTGCATCAATCTGGTTTTGGAGGATCCGAACTCGCGCAAATTAATCGCATATTATCAGATGCCAATTTAAATCGTCAAACCCTTTACAGCGATTTCTTGATTTGTATAAAAAATAAATGCATTCAATTCAGTTCTGGTGAACTGAGACGCAATGTAAATTATTGATGCAGTCTATAATTCTTATAAAACATATCCTGTGGCAGTTTTTTGTTTACTAATTGTTTAATCAGTCTTAGAGCTATAAACAATCAAACATTCCTTAGCGAGGATGATCCTCCATATTTTTCAAATGTTGCTGAATGGTTCTGACAGTGTTCGTGTGAAAATTATTGTTCGAGGGGTTTTCCTTATAATGGGTGCCAAATAGTGATAATTGGGAATAAAAGCATGATGGCTGTCAGTTCCGCCGTTTTGAAATATTATGGACAATTTTGGAGCATTTTAAGCAAGGTCATGAGAAGCACGCCAAGCCACTTCAAAAAGTTCAAGGCGGAAAAGAAGGACTATGATATTGATCGCACCCTAGGTTAAAATAGAATTTTTCGTTGATTCTATCCATCTTTCTCATCTACTGGTGATGGAAGGAATCCAATTTTTTATTCATTATAAGAAATTATATTTCTTCGGCTTGAGATAAAATGTTTTAGGTGTTAGTTCGACCGTTGAGAACTATCTCGTATTTTTGCACATTCAGATTCTTCGAATTTCTGCTTCGTGCACGAATTTAAAGCTCTAATTTTCTTCATTAGTGCTGTTTTTCTTTTGCCTTGTCTGAGTGTCGAACAAGAGACAGTCGATGAGTCGAGTTATTTTACCATGCTTATTCGAAATGCTGATTTTATTCAGATGCTGAACCGCATGCTGTGACTGCGCTAGACCGTCGACGTCTGCCTCCTGATCCGATCCCGGTGGCGACGAAAGCCAAGACAAACCTCACGAGAAATAGAACCTTGATTGGAATCGGAAGTCTTCGTGCAGCTCAGGCGAGGAGTCAACGAGGCAAGCCCGGGCTTGTCCTGCAAACCCGACAGCAATACGTTTGAGTTACGCTGGGAATTGATCGAACCCTCCTTTTTCGTTTTGCGTAGGAATACTCGAATTTCCTTTTGAAAATGTATTAAATCCTACCGGCCTGATTCGTGGAATCATGTTGCTGGAAGTGAGGAATACTCAGTGAAGCTTCTCTCCAGAAATGCCATTCCATCATCAATGGAACCACAATGAAAAGTTCAAGTCCTGGTGGCCAAAATTGTGTCAAACCAAATTTATCATTTCGGATACCTGCTTTATTCAAAGGTTGGATTTCGAGCTTCCAGAAATCTTGCGTCTTTTTTATCCCGGAAAAATTTTAGCTACGTTGATTCTTCCATTTTTCGTTGAGGTTTTCCGAAAATGTGACCAAAGAGCTGATGAGGGACGAAAACAGGGATTCTAGGGATATTGGTTTTTTGTTGTTGATTGTTTTCTCGCGAAAAAAGCTTGAAGGAAAAAAGGCTGGAAAGTGATACTACTTGAGAGTGGAATGCAGCATCTTGATCGCTAAATCCGTCCCGCCGCTGCAAAAAAATGGGTTAAGTGCGTTGAATGCTCGTATACTCGCAACCCGCGCCGTGATAATCCAAGTATTAATGCTTTTTTGTTGATTATTGGTGAAGCTAGCATATGACCAGAGCAGCAGCCTGTATTAACTGGCATTGCTGCTAAATAACCTCAGTGCTTCTCGCTGCTTGCCTTCGACTGAACAAAAATCTACGTGCATTTTGTCTGAAAGACACTTTTCGATGAGTCTGTATTTCTAACCACGCTAGTATGAGAGCTAAGCGAAGTTTATGGTGCTGAACGTGTCGTTTTTTCCGAATGATTTCTGTCTGGAAAAGTTCTATTTTTTCCCCTCATGGATCTATTTCGCTGGATTTTGTTGACTGCTTGGCATTTTTGATCTTGTTGTGTTTGCCTCTCTTTTATTTTGGGGAGTAATAAAGGAATAATTTTTTCCATCCGTGATATACAAACTTTGAGCCATTTCAGCGAAAGATTCGGTGATTTGCGCTGTGAATTCAGGTACTGTACTGTATTTGAATGGATGGCTTCCGGAGTTTTAATGGCGAATGCGTATTAGATCGATGACGTTCACAGAAATTATGTTTAATATCCGGGTTGATCAATTTTCGTGACACGCACAGTATATAAAACCTTTCATCTGATGAATTTTGAGCGATAAACTATATTTTCAAGTCAAATCGACTATAGTATTAAAAAAAACGATGGCTTTAAGGGGGAAGCATTGGATTGCTGTTTCTGTGTGTCTGCTTTTGTGGGTGCAATTCTCTCTCTCAGCGGGATTGATGGTCAATGAGGATATTGTGAATTTGCTGAGGCAGAAGGCAACAACACGTAACCAAAAATATATTTGCAGTGCGTTAAATTTATGTTGTGATCAAAACAAAATTAAACTAGTGACATATCTCAAGTTCGCACCAGTTGCTTCATAAGGACTAAGCCTACTTACCGGACTCCACCAATGCCTACGAAAGACCGTCCCGACACTACTTCTGTGTGGACAACCAGAAGTTGGTATATTGGACTTTTCCGTGTTTTTTAGCAGTACTGTACATAAACCTAGAAGATTCTGCGATATTGGCTGGGCTATATAGTGACCTGACGCATTTTTTTAGAAGTATCGCAGGTTATTTGATAAAAATTTCGTTCCAAAGAAGTAGACTCGAACGTAACCTTACATTATATGCATTTTTTGTGCTGTTCGATTCCTCTGATGATTAAGGCAGCAGACCGTATCATAAGTGCTGGCTCGACGCGAATTAGGACTCAACCACTGTATCTGCGTATAGGTCTCATTGCTTCCTGAAAAAAAAGGATGGGCTTATTGGTCAATAGGTCAGAAAAGTGCTTAGAGTTCGCCTATTAATCCTGAAAATACTGTACTTGTGTAAGTCATCTGTTCACTTGATTTACAGCACTGCTCCCTGGTCATTGAATTTTTGGACGCAATCGGAGATTTCAAACTAGAAGACATGGATCAGGACGTGGTGGATTTCATCATCAAAACGTGGCAAGCTGGAATGTAACAAGTAAATGATGGAATGTGGAATCCGAATAGAAATTGACACTACTCTGTATTACGAATTCTAATTCAATCTGAAGACGAACACAGCCGCCCATGGAAGATGCTGTTCTCCTCTTTGATATTACCTTAACCTCTCTTTCTCAAAACCGTAGATGCCCGCGCGCTCTATCCGAACCTTCGGCATTTTCCTGCGTCGTCATCTAGCAGTTTTTGGAGTTGAATAAAGGCTGATACGTGAATACGACCTGTGTTAGGGTATGATTCCTTTTTATCCGAAAGTTGCAATTGTTTCCATCGGCAGTAACATGACGTGCATCGACTTAAGTATTGTTATTGTTCGTGATTGTATCGAATGAACCTCTGGTAGTTGGAAGTTTTTAATCGATGCAGGAGTGTCAATAAATTTGCGTTATTCGTAGAATATATGAAATGGGGCAATCGCCGGGATTCGAGGTGGTAATTCTCGCCGGAGGCAAAGGTTCTCGTCTTGGAGAGCTTGCCGTTGTGAAGGAAAAGCCCCTGCTACCGATAGCAAATCGGCCTATGATTTATTATCCTTTGAAGCTCGCGCAAGATGCTGGCTTTCCAAGTGAGAATATCATTTTGTTCTTCAGCTTGTGATTATCGATGGAGACGCATTTCTTCTAGGTGTCCATGTAATTTGTCAAGAAAGCGTGAAGACGTCCATCAAAGCTATCCCAGGGAAGTTCGGGCTCACGTTGGAGCTTATATGTCACTGTTTGGCATCCGATACTGACTTCGGGACGGTGGATGCACTGAAACAAATTTCAACCTCGCTTTCGGTAAGCTTGCGACCAGTTCCACGTTTTCTGAGCGTAACTGATTTTCTTCGGCGCAGGCGCCAGAACTAATCATTCTCAGCTGTGATTTGATCACTACGGTCCCACTCCGGAAGCTTGTAAACGAGCACGCTGTTAGAGAATCGGCCATCACAGCGTTGTTCACGAGAAACGTGGACCCCCAAGATAACGTCGTCCCCGGGCAGAAAGCCAAGTTCGTTCCTGGTACATTACCTATCTTATGAAAAAAATGCTGAAATTTTCCGTTTCATTGCAATTTTGATGTCAGTTTTCAATTCAATTTATGTTTCAGAGAATGATTTGATTGGGATTGATGAGGAAACCGGTAGGCTTGTGTTTATGACTTCGAAAGCTGATCTGGAAGAGACTTTTCCCGTTCGAATTGCTGAAATATCTGCATATCCGAAGTTATGGGTATCCAGTTCTTTAGCAGATGCACATGCCTACATCTTCAAGCGGTGGGTGTTCGATTATTTGGTATCCTCCAAGTGAGTCTCTTCACGGAATTGTGTTGTCGTCGGTCTGTTGAGATTTTTGTTTCAACTCCGAAAAGTCTATCTATGCTGAAAGCGGAATTCATACCACACGTTGTGCGGAAGCAGTTTGAAAAACCAACGTCTTTCAAGGACTTCGCCGACAATACGCGAGATGAAGTTGGAAACGGCAGATCATCATTGGCCTCTGCCGATATTTTTCCTTTTGTTCCGAGAGAAAGAGAAACGGAGGAATTGAGGGAAATGTCCGCATTATGGGAATACGCGGGTAACAGACTGCGCAAGCACCTGGATGCGGTCAACAAAATCCGGTGCTATGCCTGCATCGTAGATTCTGAACTATGCATCAGAGGGAACAACTTGCTAACGTATTTGAAGGCAAATCTGGAAGCTTCAACAGTTTTGAAACGATCGGATCCAAGTTTTGAACCGATTCATCCATCTGTTAATGCATCATCCAGACTTCGACAACAGGTAGATTCTTATGATCGGGCGGAGCGAATTTATGTAAAATTATAATCTGCCCCTTATAGCTTGCCTCTTCATGCATCGTTGGTGATGAAACTTCCATCGCAGATAAGGTGTCAGCAAAACGTTCTGTGATCGGCTCCAAGTGTAAACTCGAGGATAAGTCGAAAATTGTCGATTCGCTCCTGGCGGATGAGTGTCTCATTGAAGGAAGGTCAGTATGAACCAGATTTAAAATGATATGTATTGCCTTATTAGTGTGCTGAATATCTGCCTCTTGCAACGCATTGTAACGCGCGTTAACGGTGTATAACTCACCCATTTCTTTGGAGCCTCAAACGGCGAAAGAAACAAAATTTCTTCCTGTTTTGGTTGGAATTAACGTTCCCTGAAACTCATATGTTTTGTTCATCAGCGCTTCTATTCAAGGCTGCATCATCTGCGAAAAAGCAAGCGTTGGCGAAAGATGTGATTTGAAGAATTGTATTGTTGCTCCTGGTTTTCGTGTCCCCCCTTCTAGTAAGTATGACGTGATTATGATAGCGGAGTGCAGTAGTAAATTTTTCATTTTTCGACAGCCAAGGCAAAGAATGAAGTCCTCAGCAACGAAGGGATGCTACTGGATGACTGATGATTCAAAGAAATACACTATTTGCTCTATGATTCGTTATTCATTGCTGTTTCGAATTTTTCGTATAGTTGTGGAGGATTTGAAAGCAAGTTTTATTCGGCAGATTTAATAAGTTGTGAGCGCGTGAAAATGGCGATTGTTCCCGGTAAGAAGCCTAAGATCGTCAAGAAGCGCACTAAGCACTTCACAAGGCATCAAAGCGACCGTTATGTAAAAGTGAAGGTGAGTTATTAGATTCTCGAAGTAATTGTTGGGTTGCTGCACGTCATTCGTCAACCCAACACTGTGATCTCCGTTTTGATTTTCGGATTTGATGAACCTATTTTGTAACACTGTATTTTCGATTGTTTGTTCGAATCATAGAGCAACTGGAGGAAGCCTCGCGGTATTGACAATCGTGTTAGGAGGAAGTTCAAGGGCCAGTACAAAATGCCGAAGATCGGTTATGGCTCTGCCCGCGCCACGCGACACATGTTGCCCGACGGTTTTCGAAAAGTTGTTGTCAACAACGTCAGGGTTGGTTGTATTTCTATACTCGAACCTAGCTTGCTGTATTTGCATAAATTCATGATGTCTGTGATGGTTCAGTTACACCCCTTGGGGATTTTAACATCTTTTTACCAATGAAAAGTATATGACGCACTATCCAGCTTTTTATGTAGACCGCATTCTGCTTCGGTTGAAACGTATTCTGCTTTGAGTGAAACTTTACTGGAAACATTGCGTTCCATGTTGTGATTTTCTTCGTTGAAATCAATTTTGCGAGGATTTTTTTGTTTCCTTGTCGTAAGCATTACTAAAGCAAGAAAGTTTTGAAGTGTGTATCTTTTCTGTTCGACGAATTTCCCGTTTTATTTTTCGTTCACAGTCATGTCGCACTTCTAATTATTGAAAGAAATATTCATCCCCAGCAGACTTGAAGAACCACTTTATTAAGCATTCAAAGTACATTAGTGCAAAATTGTTATTACCGAAGAAATCAGCATGTGCTTCTTGTACAGATAATGTGCCCTCACCTCCAAGAAGCACCCTTATTCAGGGGTCTAAATCTGGAAGAGAATTGGCCGTACTTTCGTGAATGCGGTATTCAAACTCTCTAAGGTGTTCATATGTGGCTAAATTTTTTTTTAATATGTGTGTTTTGCAGGAACTAGAAGTTCTGATGATGCAGAACAAGAAATACTGTGCCGAGATCGCTCATGCGGTGTCGTCCAAGAAGCGGAAACTGATCGTTGAACGTGCCCAACAACTAGCTATCAAGGTCACGAACCCGAATGCCAGACTGCGGGGCGAAGAGCACGAGTAAATTGGGAAATGAAATGAAGTGTTTTTCGTTCTCGGAAAAAGCGTGTTGTGAATCATCTATTCTCATGAGCTAGGGGCTTGCAGAAAGTTCTATCGCCTTTCTTGAATCAAGGTACTTTTCATTCGAAGTTGACAACTACTGATTTAATTCTCACCTCCGCGTTGCACGTGAGTTTCAAGGATTTCAGTTCCTCGCAAAATCGAAATTTAGAAATGATGAAAAATGTCCCGTGATTTTTCCATTCTTGGCGAATACTTCGTGTGTGCATCAATTGTGAAAGCTCCCGAAGCGTCATTCAGATTCAAATCGATTTGCTTCCGTTTTCGTCTTTCTGTAAGCCCCTACTGATGAGATCCAGCGACGTGCGTCGCATGCTTTCGTGTACGGTACTGAGCGTGACAATCTCAACCCCTTCCACAGGACTCGCAATCGCATTTTCAATGCTGTCGGAGTGTTGTGAGTGAGCATGGCGGCGAAAAACGGTGATGACCCGACTGTGGACGCGAATTTCATGCGTAAGCCCGAGGTAGGATGGCTTCACTCCGACCAGAAAATACTCTCGGATGGAATCTGTTACGGAGTTAGGGTTAGTCTGCGTCAAATTTTGTAGGGAAACTGGGAGGAATGAAAGGTTTTTGATTTTTTTGTCTAGTACATCGGGTGTCTGGAGGTGAATGCGTCGATGAAGACATTGGATTATGCCACGAGATCCCTGATTGCCGTGTAAGTGATGTGCATTTTCATGATTTACTTCCAACGTAAGGCGCCATTTTTTCCGATTCGTATCCTAAAACCGAAGAACGTCTTTCGAGAAATCTGATGCATGGTGTGCTCCGCAGCATAACGTTCCAGGAATTCGATTGTGCAGGATAGATTAAAAATGGGTGAAGTGGTCAAAGACAATGCGTTGAACTTTTGAGGCATTCTTCACCCCTGTTTTTCAAGATTTCATCGCGACCAATATTATTACCGCAATGCGAATTCGAAAACGGGTGTCGTTGGAAAAATATCAGTTGATTTTTCAGGATGTTACAGTATCTTGAAATGGATTATTTTTTTTAGATAAATTCAGATCATGCTTGAAAATTGCATTCTATATTGATTAACTTACTCGAATGCCGTATAATTACGATCGTGGACCGTGATGTGACGCATTTGCCTGCAAATTTCAAAAACATCGGATTTTTAGACGCTGCCTAATCTTCGAACGATTCTGAAGTCAAAATTTGAAAAATTTTCGTTTATATTCATGAATATATTTACTAAGCTCATCAAACAATTCACTTATTTCTTTGGTTTTTTCCAGGGAATCGATTAATCGGGTTTGTGAGTCGGCCGGATTAAAGACAGTTGATCGACGCAGAAAGGTAATACTTTTTTACGCGCCTAAGAATCACGAAATCCTCCATTCTCCGTTCTATAAAGATTTGCATTTTTTCAATCAGGTTGACAAGAGATTAAGGGGTTTGTTAGGAGCTGCGCCGAAGATGGAACACGCTGGTTGGAACGTGACGCTCAAAATCACGTCGTCTGCCCTACAACTGATTTCCCTTGACACTGGCAACCCTCTCATGACACACACGATGCCGAATATTTCGTTTGCATCAGCCGGAGATGCTGTAAGTGACCCTTTTCCCGGATATGAAACGATTCTGTTGTGTTTACTACGAAAAGGAATCTGGCACTAATTTGTTCAGTTCGTTGAACATGAGCTGTTACTGAATAAAACGCTTTAGTGTAAATCGGCGCATTTGTTTCAAGGTATCATAATTTTAAAATTAAAGAATGGGTAACAGTGTAATGGACAAGTGTTGGTACTTCTGTGCATGGAATTGAATCGGCTGGTAGGTCACGAATTTTGTAGCTTGTCGATGATGCTTGCACTCTGGAAAAGCTTCTAGTCATTACTGTCATTCGTCGTTGAAGAGCTTTTCAAATCACGAATGGGTTATATTTTCGCTGCCGTTTTCTCTCGTCGCATTGAATCAATGGAACTTTATTTTTCCGTTTAGGACACACTTGATTTCGTCGCCTATGTAGCGAAAGATGCGAAAGCGGGCAGAGCGTGTTATGTTCTTGAATGCGGATCGGGTCTGGCCCAAGACGTCATTACCACAATCGGCCAGGCGTTCGAGCTTCGATTTGAAGCCTACCTCAAATGCCTTCCTCGTCACGATCGAGGATTGCGTGATGATCCCGAATACTACAATGATTTGCCTGGTAAAGATCTTGTATTTGGTATACTTCACTCAAAAGTTCGGGTTTGTCGTCGCTTTTTGAGATTAATCCTATCCTCTTCTAATTCTTTCCGTTTCCCTGCTCCGTCAAAAATTTGTGCATTCAAGTCGTGACTTGGCGCCAATACAGTTATAATCTAGCGTTAAACCGTAAAATCTCGTTGCGACAGAAGTCAATGAATTATAGAAGTAGTCAAATTAACTATGCAAAATTGATTGCATCACGAACCAAATGAATGGTGGAGAAACTCTGTAGTCCTGAAAAAATTCGTTCAGAGCCGGAATTTAAATTGAAGAGTAAGAAGTAAATGAATATGTGGTGTATCACTGAAACGAGAGAGTAAACACTCTCCAGACGAAATAAATAGACCACGACTACTGAGCTACTCAAGGTGAAGGCAAAAAAAAACGAATCTGTATAATGCTGAGGGGCTGCGCTTTTTGGAAAGTGTCTGCAACGTACTGTACTGTACTGTCGTAAAAAAAAAATTTAGAACATCTGTAATCCATCCGCTTGAAGAATAATGACATTTTTGTCCGTTGCTGATCGTTCTCCACGAAATTTTTCATGTACAATACAGGTAAAATTCCTCCCGATTCTGCGGTTCCGCCACCGACTCCAGCGACAGCCCAGTTGCTGCCCAGCTCTGCTGGTCCTCGTGCTGCCTCGTCGCAAGCAGATCTGATCGACCTTTCGTCAGAACCGTCGACACCGTGTCTTACGAAAGACGCGGGATTCGGCGTCGATGCGCATCAGTACGTGAACGACCCTGCTGGTGCCGACGTGGCGCATGGGACGCCGTGGAGTCCCCTACCTACATCTGGTGGCGTAGTCAAAGACCCGTTTGACATGCGTCAGTATATTCTCGATGCTATTTTGAAAGAAAGAAAAAATGTTAAGGAGAAAAATCTTTGGTTTAATGAATTCAGAGCCGTTTGCTGCGACGATTGGTCCGCAAAGCGTCAGTTCGCAGCGTGAAGAGTTGTCGAAGGAGCCGTGGTATCACGGCCCTATTTCTCGGAAAGAAGCCGAAGCGCTGGTTTGTCAGGTACAGTTTTCGACCACGGTTTCCTTTTCCACTTTGTTTTCATGCAGTTTTGATTATACTGTATATTAATTTATGATGTTTCTCATTAGGATGGCGAGTTCCTTGTGAGGGAAAGCGTCGGCTCCCCTGGTCAGTACGTGCTGACCGGGATGCAAAATGACCAAAGAAAGCATTTGTTGCTTGTCGATCCGGAAGGAGTGGTGTGTATATTGTTATGGGATTTTCAATGTATTTAATAAGTTCAGGTATCCTAAAGGAAAATGACGAATTAAGAGTTTTAATTGTACTATACTACAGTAAAGTACAGTACAGTATTTTGTACTGGTGTCTCGAAACGAGGAACGAAGGTTCGCCAACAGTAGAAGGGAATGCTTTTTGTGCGTTTCTTCTTCGGCGATTATAACTGGAGTTTGTCAAATAGGAGCCTTGAAAAGAAAAACGTTTTCGTGGGGAAGGCAGAACCAGGAAATACATTGTCGATATGATTTTAATGAACGCTTTTCTTTTAATCAAAAACGTGTGTATTCCAAATGTTTTCAAAATCATCAGTCAAGTCATTGAAATATTATCTGAAGTGGAAAATTTTTAGGCAGACAGTGACGTAAAAGCGTGACCTTTATTTTTTGTACGGAAGCCAATTTCGGAGAAGAGAAAAAATACCTCTAACCAGTCATGCTCCGAGAAAGTTCAGCGACGCTTCTTTGAACCGGTGCTTGAAATATAGTACATGTAAAATAATTTTGTTTTCGACGCGTTAGATTCCCCAGAAGTCCAGAAATAGTTGGAAAATGAAACGATGGGGAGTAAAAGGGGAGTACGGTCTGCTTCGATGCTTTGTATTTCTCTGCTAGCAAATATTGTCGATATTTGTGTTGATCATTCGAGCAATGCTGGAAACGTGAGCTTTTTCCACCAAGAACGAATTTTGACAAGTAATCAGCTCTTTTGATTTTTTTGAAACGTTGACGTTCTCCACAAGAAATAATAATTGGCCTCGTGATTTGTCTCCTTGAATAGAACGAGCGTATAATTTATAAAAATAGTTCAATATATGACGAATTTTGCATTACTTTACAGGTTCGTACAAAAGATAGAACGTTTGGAAGCGTGAGTAATCTGATCAACTATCATACTTCGCAACGTTTGCCGATCATCTCTGCCGAAAGCGCCCTTGTGCTGAAAGTCGCCATCACGAAGAAATGACGTGCGATCCGCGTCTACTCAGTCTGTAAGGAAAGCGTGTCAGGGTTTTTCATCTCTTGATTGATTGATGTGAGGAAAAGGAAATCCCCTACTTACTCGCTTCTTCCAGTAAATAACGCATAATCTAGTCTAGTCCATGGAAATAGTCCGCGCGTCAAGAGAAAATGTTCGGGTCGAGAGGTTTGCTGTCTTTTTTGATCAAAAAAAAAAAAAAATTTGGAACGTTGGAGGATTCGCGATTGCGTGTCTAGAGGTCGCTTTTATTACCGCGCCATGCTTTTCTACGTCGTTTAATATTTGTGCGTCGAGGAGTGGGTTAATTATTTCATTCCTTGTGACGAAGTTTTTTGTTCCACCTGAGGCTGAGTTTAACCGAAGTATGCGTGATAAGCCTGAGCTTCCTCGATGCTTGTGCATTTCACGTTGACTCCGTTGTTTCCGGACGCTGAAGAGCAGCGATTTGTCGTATGTGGTGAGCAGAAGAATGGTGGAAAATGATGTGTTGCTTTGATATTTTCGCGAGTGCCAGATGTTGCTTCATGAAGTAAATATTTTATTTGGCTAACAGCCTATTCCCAGCCTTGGGATCATTTTTTTTGAACCTGTGTCTGATGTTTGTGAGTGTTCTGTCAGTTCTGACCTGAAATCAACGAATATTCGCTTCCGAATATTCAAGTCTAGTTTCACGTGAGTCGTGCGCATTTCTGGGAATCGAAACTGAATTAAAATCGAATGCAGAGCGTGTTGAAACCACAGATTATTGTGTAGTTGAATATTGACTCCTCGAACCTCCATATTCAGTCCCTGTCTGAGTTGCCCTAGAGAGAATGCATGAAAAAACTTCCCTAATTTCAAAGGCTTTCCCCCCTAAAATTTCCATAACCCACATTATCTGGATGCTTTTTTTAGCAACTATTTCATTGACGCAAGATTACAAGAATGAGAAAAGCCTTACAAATTTAGCTTGATGCATTTGAAGGAAAGTGAAAAACTACTTCAGCGAATGAGCCCCTGACAATGAGTTTGTTATCCTGTTATCCCCCATTTGAGAAGGAATTCAAGGTCCATCAGAAGTTCACCAATTACAATTTCCTTCAATTCTATGCCCATGTTTGACATTTACCCACATTTTTAACTGGTTTAAAATGTTTCTTCTTTGAATATTCATGTTCAACTTCATAATCATGTGAAAAATTGTAATAACTTGAAGCTTTGCCCCAGAAAAAGGTCGAAGTGCAGTTTTCTTTTCATAATTTTCTCCACAACTTTTGTACTTAGGAGTGTAGCACCACGGATTTTTTTGATTTTCGTTTTTCAAAAATGTAAATCCGCATACCAGTCGCATTCTCACCCCACTTTTCTGTCTACATTTTGCTGAAAATTTGCGCGTGTGGACTGGCACTCGGGTAAATTTGGTAATAGCTGCTATACAAAGAGATTTGAGTAAACTAGCTCAACTTATGAGAATCTTGAATCTGCCAGCTACAAAGCTAAGCTAACAATGACCATGCTGCTTTCGTATACAGCATGTCCATGGCAACTTTCTGATTAGATGGTTGCACGTTCTCAGAAGTGGAATAGGATATCATTTTTGGATTCAAGGCGCAAGTACATCTACAACTTTTGTTGATGTTTAGTACCCCATAGCAAGTGGGATGATGAGGTTCTGTATAGAAAGTCATGGTGAAGTTTGCAGCCGCACTTCAATATCCCATGCATAATAGGGATTCGGCCCGGGGAATACCATGAACTATGCAGAAAGTTCCTGGATCCCTCCCTGTTGCTTGCAAATTAAGCGGACTGAAGTTCTCAAATAACTTGCTGCTGGCGGGTATTATGCTGTACATCATCTACTTCACTGCATGTTCAACGTATCCTTCCTCCTCAGTTCTCCATTATATTTCAGGTCATGTAGAAAATTTTTTCGGTGGAGCGAAAAATGAGTGACTCTCTGTTCAACCCCCATTAGAATGACTTGAAAAAATAACGCAAATTCCAAGTAAATTCTATGTACTTTGTCAATGGATCGCAAATTATTAATTAGCGGAGCTTTCCCATATCCTGTTCGAAATTTTCGCGTATTGTGCTGAAATGGGAACTCATCGAAAAGCGCAGAGATACCACGGCATAGATATACATTGCAAGAAGCGGTGCTTGTATAATTTATGGAGCATGGTTGGAGAATCGCACAAAATGTTTCACAGCAAAGGAGTGACGCTTTTTCAATTTATGGAGCATGGTTAGGGATATTGATTCCGCGCTATTTAAATGGCGCGGAATCAATATACATATGGTCTTTCATTGCAAGAAGTGGCGCTTGTATAATTTATGGAGCGTGGTTAGAAAATGGCATGGATGGTATTTCATATGGCAAGAAGCTGTGAATTACGTTATTTTTACGAAAGTTCTGCTTCTTGCGATGAAACACGCTAGTGCACCGTTTCCTATAATTATGCTCCATACATTGAAAGTTACTGTTCTGTTTATTTATCACCTGTTCTCTGGATACGGGTCTGGTATACCTGTCTTACATGTGTGTACCTTCCTCAAGATTAAAGTTACAGGCATAACAAGATACACCTGCACCCATTACCGACAGGCATACTGCAACATACCTGTCTGTTGCAGGAATCACCTGTACAGATACTGCGTACATCCGAGTGTGCTTTATTGTGATATGGGTGACTGAAACCTGTTTGATATGGGTTGAATACAAGTGTCAGCATCACGGGTAAATTATTTGCTGGGCAGATTGCTTATCCTAGATACTTCAGGAATGAATCTTGATATAAAAAACCTTATTTGAACAACTTGGAACATCTCTCTTTTACAAAAAGTCAGATAATGCAATTTATTCTAGCACAGATTCATGCATATATGAAGCGCAGAAAATCCAAAATTATCTTCATGCATGAAATTTTCTTTTCAAAATTTAATTCTGAACTTTAACACTCTATGTATAGTTTGACAAATACACTGTGCACAGTATTTATTTCGGATTTAACTTATTCTCGCTGTCAATTTCTCTAAGCTTAACCCCGAAATTATCGATATCTGTATAAAAATTGCTCAAGGCCAGATATGAATGTAGAAACTATTTGAATACTTGAGGCACATGCATTGATCCTGTGACACTTTTAAGTTCAGGCTCGCTCATTGTAACAATAGAGCATACCTCTTTGTTGATGGTCGCAGAATATCAGTCGATCGATCGATTTATGAAAAAAATTCGTTGTTTCCATTATTGTAAACAGCATGTTTTCTCCGTTTGAAACAAACTTATTTTCTAAATTTCCGAATTCGATGGAGCGCCAGCAGCAGCACTTACAGTTGCTTCAATATTTGATGGTCTTATTCCCTCTTGTTCCTGCAGGGAAATCTTAGATTTTCTCCTTCACGAAATTTCCAATCGCGAAAAAAGTCCCAAGGGAAAAGAGTTGCCTGCTGATAGACCAACAGGAACTGCTTGACATTCACCAGCAGATGCGAAAATCACGCGGTTGAATTATTAATGATTCGAAAGCTCTCGAATTCTCGATAGATGCTGGTACGGAGTTTCTCTGCTTTGACCAAGTACTGTACCGGGTTTTTTCTTACTGAGTTTTTCTAGTTTTTTACAATTATTTTTTCCGTGCAGAATAAAATGCTAGGAGAGTAATACTTGAGTTTTAGGGACAAATATATATGTATTTAATTTAGAATGTACCTGTGGACTCAATGTTCATGATAATGTTGCATTCTTTTTGAAATTTTAGCAGAAATTTGGATGAAAGTATTGGAAAATTTTTTTTTAACCCGATATGCATGCAAAATACCAAGAAATGGTCGCATACCCTTTTTATTCCAGCTTTGTACGCATTCTATGCTTTGCACACATTTTCGTGGAATACAGTACTCTTCATGCCTTAGAAATGAAAAGTTTTTGTTATAGATTGGATTCATTCAAAATCGCGCGTTTGAAAGGCAGTATTTTAATATTCATGCTTTCCTGGTTGAAAATAATTCGATTTTTAATATTTTTAAGTTTGAAATATGGTAAGCATTATTTTCATTATTGGGTTTTACTGATATGCATGTTAAATTCGAGCGTTTGATTCAGATCAAAGCTGTGTTTCGAGCACACAAAAGATTATTTTGAAAAAAAAGATTATTTTCTTCTACACTGGACTCATTTTTTTATGGAAAAGCCTTAAGATTTCCCTATATACGGTACTTAATTATTCGCAACGGTTGAAATTATTAATTAATTTACTGTTTATTTACATATAAGCGATTGTTTTACGACCCTAATTTCTTTTCTTGTTCAATGATTTTTAAAATGAATTACGTCAGAAATTCCGCAGCAGTGCTGGAATGTCAAAAGCCAATGATAAAGACCGACTTCTTGCTGAAATAGCGCTTTGAGCACAGCGACCGGAAGTCCAGGAACAAACAAACACTTGCACTATATACAACCCACTGCGACGACAGCATCAGAAGCTGTTCTGGAGCTGTTCAAGTATGCGGCCTAACCAGCGAAAGCGTGATGCACCTTGAAATTTTCAAGTTGAAACATGTGAGATGTGATACATGACCTTCAGGAACCTGAGTTTGACCGCTTCATTATGTCAATACGATGAAATGATTATGCGTTTGAAGTCAAACAGAAAATAAATCATAGGTTATTAAAATATTTTCTCTTGATCAGCTTTCATACATGCCTGTATAGTGTTTTCAAACTTCTGCATATACAATGTAAATCTAATCATTAGCTTGAATATTTTACTTCAAATTCTTTTCTATCAGTTTGGTAGAAAAATTTTGGGTTGATTTTTGCATAAAAAGGAAGGAATTTGTAAATTTTGGCGATTTGGGTTTTGTATTTTGCTTTGAAAACTTATGGGTTGACTCATATGTGCTATTTAGATGCCAAATTTTATTAAGGTAAGTCCAGTTAACTAACCCAAACCTTCTTCATTCTTTCATGGTTGTAGCTCACATGAAAAAATTGAATTATAGTAAAAAAAAATTCCTAGCGAAAAATGGAAAGATTTCTGAAAGATTTGATTTTCATCCCTGGAAACGTTTTTCAAATGACAGCAAACGTTGTGAACGATGAGTTACGGTAAATTTGTTTCATTTTCGTGCTCTATAAAAAGTTGCAAATTTTCTGAAATTGACATCAGCTAAAAAAATTGTCAGGATTACTTCAAATGTACTGGAATACGCAGATTTAGAACGTTATTGAGAATTTTTAGTAATGCTGGGCGTCTGAAATTTAATGAAATTTTTTTTGCAAAATTACGCTTCTAAATGACGTTGTTTGGTGAATTTTGAAGCTCAATCTGAAAAGATTTTGTCATCCAGCATATATAGGTGCCAACTGGGTTTGTAATCATTCATGTGTTTTATGAAAACATCTTAAATTTTGCTGATTTGTCGCGTACTATAGCAGTACCAATCAAGTTCCTCCTGTACGACCTCAACCTGCAACGTTGTTCCTCAAAAGCCAGACGTCGTTTGTGCAATTGACAAGTGCGTGTTTCTGTTCCTGACTGCCGCTGTCAGCAATTCATCTAACCTCATTTTCTCTTTCAACTTTTGTACTCTTACTTTTGCTACGACTTGAAAATTCAAGCAAATACTGTACACTACTACAATACCTGTAATAGGTAAGTAGAAAGCGTCCAGCAGATGGTTCCACAAAAGTGGATTTCTTTGAGAAATGCGTGAGCCTGTCTTCATTCTGCAATTTTTTTCCCGCGGAAAGTTATTGAG